GTACTCTGATTTTTATAAAGCATAAACAAAATCGGTCTTTTCTGGCCGTGAAAAATGGGGATGTCACACCATATTTGTGTGTTATTAAGCTTGGAAGGTGGATTTTAGTAAGAAGAGCTTAAATTCCAAGGAGCTTGGAGCAAGGAGAAGTTGTGGATCCGAATTCTACTCCATCTTAGCATCACTTTGAAGGTAACAAGTTGTTACCTTGGCTCTCCCTTAGTTATATCTCTTCATACATGGGTTTAGAACCCTTTCTAGTGTATTGTCGTGGTATTTCCGGATTTGGGGCAAGATCTGAGGTTGTAACTTCAGATCTGGACTCCTTTAGCCCCTTATTGTCACAAAGTTCTAGTCTTTGTCAAGCTATGGCCTTCTCCTTGCCTTGAACTTCTTCTTTAGCCTAGTTTTGGCTCTTAAGACCTTGCATGCACGTAAAGTTTGCAACTTTACGTGGTAACTAGGCCCTAGGAGGCTAAATCTACCAATTGGAGCTTTGGAGTAGCTTAAAATCATCTGGACAAGAAATGAACTGCATGAACTCGACGAGTCGGATAAGCCAACTTGACGAGTTGGGAAGGGTTTTCCCGTTGTTTAGTTTCTGCATGGACTCGGTGAGTCAGTAAGAGGACTCGACGAGTCAGTTAGGGTTTTCTTGACTTTTGGACACGCATGGAATCGATGAGTTGTCTGGAAACTCGACGAGTCAACTGGGGTTTCACGACTTCTCGAGTTTTGGAAGGACTTAACGAGTCAGTGAGCTGCACTCGACGAGTTGGGTCAACATGGACTATTGACCTTGACCGTTGACTTTGACCTTGACCGTTGACTTTGACCTTGACCAAGGATTGACCAGTTTGACTTCTAGGGGTATTTTAGTAGATTGGGAATTTATGGAAGTGGTCCTATAGTGGATATAGGTGGTGGAGTTCGTGGCTGTGATTCGAGAGTTTGATCTTATCACTACAGATTCAACAGTTGTGAGGTGAGTTTTCCTCACTATACTCAAGGGTCTAAGGCACCAATGCCGGCCCTTTTGGATTGTTATCTGGATATGTTATGCTAGTATGATCCATTAGATCAGATCCTGGTATATAGGATGGTATTATGCTGTTAAGATCTATTAAATCAGTATCCTGGTAGATAGGATGTTATTATGCTGTCATGATCTATTAGATCGGTTTGTTTTTCTATAGACTGTTATGTGATTATCTGATATATGTGCACATGTTTGATTGGTGGTTGAGGCTTATCTGCTTTGTGCGAGAGCCAACATACCTGGGCATTCCAACCTGATGGTTGTGGGCCGTGAGTATTCCATATCGAGAATGATTGGACTTGTAATATGTGGGCATTCCGACCCGATGGTTGTGGGCCTGGGGTATTCCATCCCGAGGATGACTGGACCCATAGTATGTTGGCATTCCAACCTGATGGTTGAGGGCTTGGGGTATTCCAACCCGATGGTTGACTGGACCCATAGTATGTTGTTTGTGATTATATGTGTATTGTTATGTGTATGAGTATTTTGGGGGAACTCATTAAGCTTTGGGCTTACAGTTTCAGTTTTGGTTTCAGGTACATCAGATGATCGCGGGAAGACGGATGTGTGATCGTACAGCTCCTCACATTTTATGATTTTGATTTCTGGGATACTCTGATATGAAATTATTTTGAAAACACATTGTAATAATTAATGGTTTTTAATTGATTGAAAAAGTTTAAAATTGGCTTGATTTTTATGGGTGTTACATTGAGAGGGTGAAAAAGGTTAACCAAACACTCTGAATCTTAATCATCCAGATCCAGCCTTTTGATGGGATCATTAAGATGTCAAACAAACAACCCCGTAACCTACTTTAGCTTTGTTTGGAATCCGTATAGGCATTTCGTTAGAATTAACAAGGGATGGTTTGTGTACGTATTTCATCAACGAGTTTTGAACTTTTGATGTATTTCCTTTTAATAGAAGGAACGTTTGTGTAACAACATATGAGTAGTGGGCTTAAATGTAATTCTTCAGAGCGTTAAAGGATGATTTGTGTAACATTACTTTGGTTAAAGTCTTAAACCCTTCGAAGCACAAAACCCTTGGAAGCTTGAACTTCAACAATGGCGGATTATCAGTCGCCGCGAGCAGAAAAGAGCAGCAGTAGCAACGCAAAGAAGAGGAAGAAGAAGAGAAAGCTTCCAGATTCAGAGAATAAGTACGAGGATAAGGCTTCGAAATCATCTCGTATCGATCAATCGGATGATTTGGTAAACGAACCAATAGAAGAAGTTAAGGAAACAACAACAGAATTTCTTGAAGATGCAACTCCGTGGAGAAATTTGCAGTTAATTTTGTCACTACAGAAGAAGAATCTCAATATTGAGAAGTAAGCCTCTTTTCGTACAACAGTGTTTGTTCTACTCTCCTGGTATTTGTTTCCATTTCCATGTGTGCGTATATTGTAGGTTTTATGCTTGTTTACATGAAAAACGTTAGGGAAAAATCATAGAAACGGAATGAATTTGAGGTCAAATGGTTTGTAACAAGAACATGGCTATATTGACTGTAATATTTGGTTATACATTTCTGATACTCGAATACTTTTTGTGCAGAAAGGTAGAACTCGCATATAAGTTTGTGAATTTGAGTTTTAGTCAAGTAGCAGATGACACAACTCATCCATCAGAGGCTGTTAGCTTTGATAGAGTAATTACATTTCTCAACAATTGGGTCCAGTCAACATTAATCTCTTCAGAGAAAGAAATTAGGGTTTCAGGGCTTACTCCTCAGTTTGGTGTAAGTGGTTCTTGTTTAGATTATAGATGCTGGAAGATTTTCAAGTTCTGCCTGGAGGAGGGTATGAAATTAAACATTTCACTGAGCTTTTCTAAGGACATCTTAAAAGTTATTCACTGCATCACCAGGAACATGGAAATCAAAGATTTGAATGAAGATGAGTTAACATTATACAACACAATTCTTGATTGCATTTCACTCATTTTCACATCACATGGTGGTGTTTCAAATGAAAATCTAGATTTGTGGATTTTGTTAGTTGGTACTTTACTTGATCTTGTTCTGAAAGTTATCACCAGTAATCTCAATGATACCATATCAGGAACAATTGTCATGAACTTGACATGCATAGTACTTGATCCATTCATCAAGTTCTTAAGGCTTCATCCAAATCGGAAAAATGGTTTTCAAGATTTTGTGGATAAGCTTTTGGAACCTTTGCTATGCTTACTGCATGTAATACACTCTTCTGAACTTGCCACAAATAAATTATTGAAGCTAATTGAAGAAGTCTTCTCTCAAGGATTGTTTCATCCCTCACACATTGATGGATTTTTGAGCTTACAGAGCTTATCTAAGTATAAACTATCCGATGAAGGAAAGCCAAAAGACTCAAAAACAGTTATCAGAAGTTATCACAGACACTTGTTTGATAAACTGGGAAGAATAGTGGTGGAGAAGAAAGCCTTGGCATTATCTGGTGAAGGGGAGCTTTTTCGTATGTATGTCCATTGTATCAAAAGGCAAGATAGTCTATCTTTTTTAAATGCTGAAACTCGGAAGTCATTGTTTGATTTCTTTGTACAAATTCTAGAGCCTTTGTTATGTGATATTGATATTTACCTTCAACATGAAGTGGAAATAGGAACAATGTTAGAGGATGTTCATTGCACACTCAAATCATTCAACTCAATTCTTATCAACTTAATGCAAGAGAAAGTATACACAAGGGTAGATGATGCATCTGAAGGGGCTTGTGCTAATTTCTTGAAATTGGTCTGTGATAAAATAACACTACTTTCTTCCAAAATAGATCAGTTAGTTCCATCAACTTTTGATGCAAACAATGGAACATGTAAGGATTTGGTGGAGTTGGTAGCCAAAGATGTTATTTCATGCCTGGATTATTTATTGGAAATTGATTATGAGGTTCTTGGGAATGATCTTGAAAGTTTATGGCTTTTGATGTTCTCATATGGGACACTTGGACACAGTTTGACCAATTTACAGGATAAGTCCTCGATAATTCCAGAAATTCTTCATCTTGGATGCCACATGGTTAACCTTTACAGTGAGCTTCGTCAGGTTAGTGGAGCATTCTTTGATTTGCACTAATACTTGTTTGACATATTAATAAGCTTAACTTGTTTATGTAAATTGTTATTTCAAATTGAAGTTAGACTTATTAACATAAACCATCTATATTTGATAGGTGGGAACATCTGTTTTTGCACTTTGTAAAGCAATGAGGCGTTTTGTATCATCTGCAAACAAAAAAGAATCTAGTCATTCAAAATCATGGGCAAAGTCATTGAGATTGATATTATGCTCACCAGAGTTAAAACTTTCCATCCATAATGCTGTAAAGTCCATACCTGAAGGGCAAGTAGGTTTATCTATTAAAGAATTAGCCACTGATGTCTCTGAATCTCTTGAATGGATGAAGGGTACTTTAGACAATTCACATCATAATGTCCGGTTGAAAGCAGAGGTTCTTGGTAGTGGTTTATCCGAAGTGTACACTTTAATTGTGGACTCATTGGTTGTCACTACAGGTAACAGTAGTCTTGTTGGAGTTTCTCTAAATGATTTGGTGACACTCATTTCTCCTACTATGAGTATTTTGATCTCACAACCAAAAGGAGTTGATGAGTTTCTTTCTGTAGTTTCTGGAAGAAAATTCTCCAATAAAGTGAAATCTCATTGGATTTTTCTTTTCTTTTTTCGTTTATATATGTCTTCTAGAAGCTTATATAGACAAGCTATCACTCTTGCACCTCCTACTACATCCAAAAAGATGTCAGAAATAATGCGGGACCCCTTTACAGCTTATTCTGGAAATGATTGGTTGGAAAAGACAGAAAAGGATAAAGGGTATTTTTCTTGGATTCTCCAACCTTCAGTCTCTCTTCTTCTCATTATAGAAGCAATTTCAGATGTTTGTACCAAAGAAAGCAAAACAGATCTTTCTTCTCTAACATATGTTTTGAATGCTATGGCACTTCAGAGGCTTGTTGACTTGAATAGATTGGTCAACTCCCTTGAGTTTGTGATCAAGAGGAATGAAATGATAGTTAGTGAGGCGAAAGAAGCAGAGGGTATTAATGGTAAACAAAATAAACGATTGGGAAAGCGACTTATGAAGTTATCAGAAGAGGCGAGAGGTCTTACAAGTTATATAATGGGACACCTGTCTTTATTGAATAAATCTGAGCCAAATTATGAAAATGGATGGGATTTTTCGGTTGCTTCCATAGATAAGAAGTCATTACCTTCTGCATTTTGGTGCATGATTTGTCAGAATATCGATGTTTGGAGTGCTCATTCAGCTAAGAAGAAAGTGAAGATGTTTCTCTCAATTCTTCTTCAAAATTCTCTTCCATTCATGAAGAGTAATTTGAAGCAATTTGGAGAGCAGAGTGTTGTTGGAGGTGGAAACTTGAAGAAGGTCATGATACATGAAATCTCATTGGAGCTTCTCAGCAATACAATGTTATATGAGGAAAAAGTAAGATGGTATTGTTATTTCTTGCATTTAGCTCTATATTTTGGTGCATTATTATCCTGTTCTTTGTTGAAGAATAATTGCATCTAATATTATTCACATTGTTCTTTAAATCAGTTTATTCGAAGACATATGGCATCAAGGTTTTGCAGCTTTCTTCAAGAGTTAGTGTCACCATTATTTAATAATGAAGCAGATATTGAATTGCAAGAGGAACCCAATTGGCCTGAGGTTTTAAGCTCCCTTAAAATTCCTTCAGTAGTTACAAACAATATTAGTGAAGTGAATGATTGTTCTTCAATGGATCCATCATCTTCTCTCTCTATCAAGAAGCAAGAAGTTGATGAATCAAGTCAGATATATAAAGTTTGTCAAAGTTCACTCAGTTTTCTCTGTTGGATGCCCAAAAGATGGATAAATTCTAAATCTTTTTCTCTCTATGCAACTTGTATATTAAATCTTGAAAGGTAACAATTACAAAATACTCTTTCCTCTTTTCTCTTGTCTATTGATTAACAACTGAAAATGCTTCTTTTTTCAGGCTTATACTCAACACTTTATTGGGTGAAAAATTACATGATCATGTTGAGCTTTTGAAGCTCCTTCTTTGTTGTCGAAAAACCCTGAAGCATCTAATGATTACATTCTGTGAAGAGAATATTTCCACCAATCAAAACTCTCTTAGTGCCCTACACTTTAAAGGCAAGTTTCCAGCTTTATGGCTCTTAAAGTCATTACTCTCACTACAAAACACATTTTCAACAAATCACAACACTGAATTGAAGAATCTGATGTTTTCACTTACTGATTACACATCATATGTGTTTTTCACCCTCATCAAGGGTACTCTTGTCAATGCAAGCCATTCCCTTATATCCTCTAGGGATCCTTTTCACAAGAATACTGAATCTGTATCTTCATCTGATCAAGAAGATGGAATTAATGCAACAAACTTTTTGATTCATGTATCTGAGGAATTAAAAGATTATGCAGAAATTATGTTAGGGGAAAGGGAAACCATTTGTTATGGAAAGGCGACATCTGTTCTTTCTTGCTTTCAGGGATTTTTGTGGGGACTTTCATCTGCTTTATCTCATATGGACACAAAGAATATTAATCTCAAAGCCATTTTTTCTAGAAGAAAATTTGAACCTATTGACAAATTGAAACTCTGCATAGATACTTACACAACTTCTATAAACAAATCTTTGTGTGAGCTCTTTCTGAAAGCTTCTTTTTCTGAAATTTCCTCTGATGGGTATGAAAAACGCCTAAATTTGGAAACTTTAGAAATGGGAAACACAGAGATAAACAAGTCCTTTTTGCAGAGTCTTCTAGAAGGAGAAAGTTTGTTTCTTAGACAGCTATTCATTTCCTATTCCGCTATTCTAAGGTTAAATTCACAGATCAAAACTCCATTGTTGTCAAAGGTGGTTGTTATATTCCTAGAAATCTCAGAAGTTTTGTTGTTGGGATTCTCAAAGAACACTGGAAATAGAACACCACCACCATCAGAGTTAACTTTCGTGTTGTTGGATGCGATTGGGAAGTTTCTAGAAGAATTGGGAAACCATATTTCTTCATCTAACCCTACTTTGCCTCCAAAAGTTTATGAAAGATTGATTGATTTGCACTTAAAGGCAATTGGAAAATGCATTTCTTTACAAGGAAAAGAAGCTGCTTTAGAGTCTCATGAGACTGAATCAAGTACAAAAACAATGAATGATCATTCTAGTGGACTTTCTTGTTTAGATGAACTCAAAAGCAGATTAAGAATATCATTCAAAGTTTTTGTTGGAAAACCTTCAGAGGTGTATATATCTTCTGCTATGCAGTCTATTAAAAGAGCTCTGGTTGGAGGAAATGTTTCTTCAGTTGTTGCAGCTGGAATTGATTGTCTTGATTTAGTCCTTGAGGCCATTACAGGTAAAGTTATATTCATCACTTTTATTTCTGAAAACATTTTGATAATATCATAATACTGAAAATTTCAATTCTTTAAACAGGAAGGAAGAGTCTGAACACAGTGAAAACAGATATATTGGGTTCACTTTGTTGTCTCTTCAACATTATTCTTCATTTGGAGGGCCCACAAATCTTCTACAGAGATCCCACTTCAGTTAAACATTATTCTACTGATCCAGATCCTGGATCTGTTGTTCTTATGTGTATTGAAGTGCTTACAAAAGTGTCGGGAAAACACGCGCTTTATCAAATGGATTCATGCCATGTGGCACAAGCTCTTAGTATTCCCTCTACACTTTTCCAGAATATTCTGAATGAGGGTGTGAAAACCGAGGTTTTAGATAGAGAATATTCGATTGAATTATATGCAGCGTGTTGCAGGATGTTGCATACTTTACTTAGGCATCATAAAAGGTTTGAAATCTTTACTTTTTTTTTTTTTATGTGGATAATATTCGATTGAATTATAGGTAAAAAAACTAAGTACATTGCTTATATGGTTAAACCATTGCTTTACTTGCAGGGAAAGTTTACAGCACATTGCTTTGCTTCAAGCTTCTGTTTCTGTTCTTCTTCATTGTTTGGAGATGGTAAACAATGACCAAACTACCCTTAAAGGTTATTTTGTATGGGGGTTACAAGAGGGAGTAAAATGTGGTGCTTTCCTTCGAAGAATTTATGAAGAGGTTTGTTTATTCATTCAAGGAAATGTGATTCCTTTCACTTTGTTAAGTTTCATTCTTTATTAATCCATATGATCTTTTTTAAAAATTTAATTTTTTTTGGCAGATACGACAACAGAAAGATGTGATTGGGCAGGATTGTCGCCTGTTTCTATCCACTTACATAGTGGTCTTTTCAGGATATGGTCCTCTGAAAGCCGGCATCAGAAGGTCAGTTTTGTAATTTTACTTTCATTCCATTCTATATTTACAACATCTGATGGAAATTGATTGCAGGGAGATAGATGAAGCTTTGAGACCAGGTGTT